TTCTTAAGAGCTTCCTTCTTCTCCAAAAATCCCCTCCCCGATGAGGGAGGGAAGCAAGTATTAATTTGCAGAAAAGTAGCTCATTAAATGGCCATTTTAAGTAATTCCCAAATCCTTGTGCAAACATGGATCTTGGGTTGAGCTTTTAATGTGTGTGAATGCTGTCAAAGTAGGGTTTCAAGTATTCTAAAGTTAAATGCTAAAAGTGTTTTGTTTCCAGTGACTAAGGAACTAGTTATTTTGGAATTAAAACAGAACTGTGAATGCAAAGTAGTCGAGATTTTATCTGTGCCTTTCAACCTTTGGTTCCTATGAATTAAAAGCCCAATCTGCCATGTTAGAATGACCTTCAGATAACCAGTCAACATTTATACCATCCTTCAGGTCTAAACCCAGTTTATAAACTTGTTTAGACAAGTTTCTATACACATTTTTTTGAAATTTATAAGCCAACAATAGTAACATACAGAAGGGACTATAACCCAGACATCTAGAAATTGGCAGTATCTTTCAATGTTCTTTGTGTTAGTTACAACTTAAAATTACAGGTATATTGCCACTTGAAGCAATACATAATTATACCTGTGCATACACCAAATTCATATATACAAGAAAGAAAGAATAGATGGTGATGATTCATCTTACCAAAGAATATTCCATTAAATGTCTGTAAACAACTAGCTCATCTACAACAGAATATGACTGCTTCATAAAAATCATGTATACCCAGTAACTTTATTTTTTAATTAACAAATGGTATTTGACAATTTTACTGCCAATAGTATCACGTTGACATGCTATCTTTTCTTCTCAAGATGCCAAAACACTGTCACATGTGTTATCATTTCCCATCCACTCTTTCAGTGGGATTGGTAGTTTAACACCTTTTCACCACAATCTTGCTTCTTCTTAACAATAAGAAAATTGAGGGATTAATAGACTTGTCAGCTGTCACAACACAAGTTTCCAGCAAAACTGGAGCTTACACTTCATCTCATTTTCTCCAATTAGTGTAAATTTCTTTAATTATATCCCACGTGGTCATACATAATGTTTAAAAAAAAAGTAATACAGTCGTCAGTACATTTTCTGTTGAAGTTGCCTTACATTGCAGCATTTAAACTATATTTTAGAACCACAGAATTAGTATTTTAGATTCTAAATTAAGTTCCATAATAAAAGAAAATAAATTTACTAGGACATTAAATTTATTATTAGTTTAAAATGCACCCTTTCTTCTACTAAATTGCTACATTTTGCCTGAACTTCAAAAGTCTTTGTGATTCAAGGAAATCTTCACTATTAAAAAAAGACATCATTGTTTCATAGTATATCAAACTCTGGAAAAATATCTCTTTTTAAATGTGAAACTTTTACTCACTTCATTCTCATCATTTACTTTCAGATGATGAAAACGATTGTGCATCTCAAACAGATTATATTCATATTTATAAAAGTATTAATGGAATTTCATTAGCCTAAGTCCTCTTCCATTACATTTTTTTTTCCTTTTTAGATAATATTACACATTGGGCACACTGCAAGGAGTTATTAATATGACATTGTTCCAGATATGGAACCACAGAAAAATCATATAGTAACTATGGTTTATATAAAAAATAATAGTAATAAATCAAGTACTACTTGTTTAGACAACTGATACTTATTTCTAGCAAATGTTTTTTGGAACCTGAAAACTAGTCTTCGATTTTATATTTTTCTAATAATTTGGTCATAAAAACAGAAAATAAACATTTCTAAATCCCAGAAAAACTTGGCTGGGATACAAGCTATCGAATTCCTGATGCACACAGGGAGGGCTCAATAAATGTCATTATCTCATAGCATTAATTCTAAAGGGTTACTTCTCTTAGCCTAGGCCAGTTGGCTTAATTTTTACTGAAAGTATGATTTTCTTTTCTCTGTGCCAGTGTTTAGATTAATATACCATTACTAAATATAATACGCATTCATTGAAAAAAAAAAACGTCAGGTTTTCCTGAGTATCTACAGTTCACATTCCAGGATCTCATGACTATGAAACAAATGACCTTCAGTTAATCCTCTTGACACAGTTAGATGATAACCTAGCAGAATTTGGGAGTATGATGCTCTCAAATGATGAAAAGGTCTTACTGCAGTAGTTGTTCTTTTTGTGTTTGTTTTCTGTTTTTCATCAGTAAAACTAGTCCTTAGTCTCTTAGTTGTCCTCCTCATCCCACCCCATTGTTCCTCCTAAATGTACTTCCTGTACATTGCTTAACATTAAGTCTTTGAGGGCAGTACTAGGTGTAGGACAGTCAAGTTGGGGGTTCTGAAGCATTAATCCAGGATTTCCACAGTTTCCACATATGGTTTCTAGGGGCAGGCATGGAGACTGGGTAGCTGAATTAAGACCCCTAATCTTGAGGTTTGGAACTCCAGGGATCTCCCCAGTTCTAGGGAATTAGGCTACCATTTTATTTACTAGCAACTCTCTACACGTGGTGCACACATACTTGCACATATATCCTGCTTTCTATCATCTTAATTAATTATGTGAAGGCTTTTAATCCTCTGTGGACCAACTATGAATTACATAGCTTTTGGTAATTTGATGATAGGAATATGATTTTTCTGTCCTTTATAAAGTGATTTCAAACCTATTCGCAACAATCAGAATTTCTTCATAGCAGTTTTATGCAATAAATTTTTTTTAATTTTTTATTAAGGTATGATTGATATACATAATTATACCTGTGCATACACCAAATTCATATATACAAGAAAGAAAGAATAGATGGTGATGATTCATCTTACCAAAGAATATTCCATTAAATGTCTGTAAACAACTAGCTCATCTACAACAGAATATGACTGCTTCATAAAAATCATGTATACCCAGTAACTTTATTTTTTAATTAACAAATGGTATTTGACAATTTTACTGCCAATAGTATCACGTTGACATGCTATCTTTTCTTCTCAAGATGCCAAAACACTGTCACATGTGTTATCATTTTCCATGAAGGTTTCACATGAAAAAACAATGTGGTTACTACATTTACCCATATTATCAACTCCCCACCCATACCCCAATGCAGTCACTATCCATCAGTGCAGCAAGTTGCCAGAGATCCACTATGTCCTTTCTCTGCAATACACTGCTCTCCCCGTGATCCCCCACACCATGTGTACTAAACATATACCCCTCAGTCCCCTTCTCCCTCCCTTCCCACCCGCCCTCCCACACCCATCCCCTTTGGTAACCACTAGTTCATTCTTGGAGTCTCTGAGTCTGCTGCCATTTTGTTCCTTCAGTTTTTTATGCAATAAACTTTCTATGTTTTAAAAGAGCAAATGTACAAAAGAAGTTAGGGCCTTTAAAACTTTTGGAAAACTTTCGAAATAACCACTGTATTAGTTTATATATACATAAACCCTTAAGTATATAAATAAAACATTTTAACCATATAAATCTTATTTTTTGCTAAGATATCTTTTAATATTGTTAACCCTATCTTTACCAGAAATAGAGCCCACTTACTGATCTCTTCCAAATTATATTTAACAACACTTTCACTTCATAATAAATACTTCACATGTTCTTCAAGGAGCAATGGTATTATGGATTAAGGTTTTCTCCTTTAAATGTGTGACCTAAGAGAATCATAACAAGTAATCAAAAAGTTTATGTAAGAAAGTAATATAATAGGACAAGCAGGCATCCGATACTTATTTTTCCAAAAGCCACCTGCTCAACATCACCCATAGGCCATCACTTTTAAAAATATGGTAAATCAACCCAAAATTAAATTAAGCTCTTATAAATTCATATAGGATTTAACCTGCTGATCTAATTTACTGATGAAAAACTGTAACAATAATGGAAATTACAGATTTAGAAACAAAACATTCCATTAGCTATCTTTGCCACAACAGCATAATGTTATACTTTGTTCTTTTACTTTCTCCCACCCCCTAAGAAACAGGGATATTATTATATGGTCTTATTTCACATCCTAACCTCAGTCACTTGGATTTGGAGGACATGGTTTCTACTAAGGTTAAAAGACATACTTCTGCATATTATTTACAGTAAGGATCTAAAAAATTATAAATTTTAATTATTGTAACATCCTTTGGGATAAAAGTATTTTCACTCTTCAAAGATTAGAGAACTGAGTATAATGATTAATTTATTTATATAAGTCATCATGATATGATTGCTAAAGCTGTAATAGATATGAAATCTTGATTTCCAGCAGGACTTCTTAGATTTTACCTAAATGGTGTATTGGTATATCAAACTTCGAGCCACCTTCTCCATTTTTTAACTGTTTAAAAGAATGCCTTACCATTTTTTACCTTTTTTTGCCAGAAAGTAGCTAAAAGATAATAAATTCATTAGTATCTTCATATCTGCACTCTTCACTGGGACAGGAATGAGTGCTTTCTGACTCTTTCTGGTTGTTTGGTTCTGGACCAAACCAAACCTTTTAACACTCTGGCTCCAAACTCAAAGTTTTAGAATAAACTAATGAAATAACTGTAACTAACGCAGTAGCTTCTACATGGAGCCCATAAGCTGATTTCGTGCTAAAAGTAAAAACAGCCTCAAGAGTTTAAATGATCGAAGCTGGAATCACAACAAATTCAGGAAAATTAGGATTATGCTGGTAACCTCTAATCTTTTTTTAAACTGACCTCACCCTGGGCAAATAACCATCTCCTGATGCCATTCTTGGAGACAAAATTTCTGGCTGAAACATCATTTTTCTGCCTCAATCTGGCTTGCTATTGTTAGCTAATCATCACTATTTCTCTCAACATTTCACTCTGACTACAGTGGTCAACATTTGTTTTCAGGAAAGGCTTCTTAAGTGATTTCGGTTGCTCCAGCCGTCTCCCTTTTTATCCTAGCTAATTCCCCGACTCCCATTCCTATCGCCTTGTTTCACTTAAGATTTTGCTTAACAGTAGAGACGGCACATGACCTCCAGCCTTCTAGTGTTTCAGAACCGATATAAAAACATTCGATTGAGATTATAAACTCTTCTAGGCTTGGAATTTAAGTGTTTAGCTTTTCAACTGTTAAAAATCTACAGCGCACAATTAAAGTTTTTAAATTTTTAAATTTAAAAAAACTCATCTTTTTTAATCTTTAGCCCCGCCCACCGCCTCCCCCTCAGAACTCCACGCGAAACTGCAGGAAACCGGAGGAGGCGGGGCGGTGACGCCACGACGCCGGTGCGTCACGGAACGGCGGCCGCTGCGGCGCTGGCGGTAGCTGCGGCTGCGGCGGCATTTTAGTCGGCAGCGGCGGCAGTGGCGGCGCTGCTGCTCTTCCCAGCATCCCTGGCGCGGCCATTTCAGCCCCATCTTGGCCGAGGGGAGGGAGCTCCAGCCGCCGCTTCAGCAGTTTGAATTTGTTTCTCCAGGGTCTGCGAACCAGGCGCACCGAGGAGGAGCCGAAGAAGCGACCACTGGTCTCTCACACAGCCGGAGCGCCTCTGCTCTCCGGCCAAGCCGGCCGCCGCCGCCGCCGCCCCTCACTCGCTCAGGAGCCGCGCGGAGAGGCCGAGACCGTCGTCGCCGCCGCCCGCCCGCGGGGGCGGCTCCCCCTCTGAGGGGAGGACCGAGGCGGCTTTCCCCTCCCCCGGAGCGGGTTTCCGTCAGAGACTGTCGACATGTCTCTGGGGCTGAGCTCCGGCTAGAGCCGAGAGGAAGGGCCTCCCGCCCGCGCCTTGGCTCCGTCGCCCGCCTGCGGACCTTCAGTCAGCCCCAGCCCCACGGCTCCTGACTTAATCAGGAATCCCCGGCTCCAGACTCTCCACTCCTTCCCCTTCTTTCCTCAGCGTCCGGGAGCCCGAAGCTGACGGCGGCACCGGCCTGAGAAGCCCGAGCGGGGCAGCACCGCCCCTCCCGCCGTCGCCACCTCCCCTTCGCCCTCCCACTCCCACCCCCAGCTAAGGCCTGCTGGCCGCGCGCTGCGCCGAGCTGGACTGACCACGGCGGCTCGGAGGAGGCAGGAGGAAGCAGCCGGCCCGCGCCTGAGATCGCGCCCTCGCCGCCTCTGAGGGGGTTGAATTGAGGCGCCGCAACTGCGGGAGGCGAAAAGGGAGGAGGAGCCGCCGCACGAGTGAGGCGGGTAGAGCCGAGGAGACGGACACACAGAAGGAAACGGCGAGGAGGATGTCTCACAGAGCGGCCCGCGTCCGGATCTGCCAGTGACTTAACAGCGGCGGGCCTCAGACCCCAGCGCAGACTCGGACTTTGTCTTTAGGGGCCCGTGCTCTGCCCTTCTGGTTTCCAGCGAGATCACAGAGGAGCTGGCGTGCTTCTGCCCTCCAGCCTTCTTCACCATGTCCAAGATGCCGGCCAAGAAGAAGAGCTGCTTCCAGATCACCAGTGTCACCACCGCCCAGGTGGCCACTAGCATCACGGAGGACACCGAGAGTCTGGACGACCCGGACGAGTCACGCACAGAGGACGTCTCCTCCGAGATATTCGACGTTTCTCGGGCTACGGATTATGGCCCTGAGGAGGTATGCGAGCGCAGCTCCTCCGAAGAGACGCTCAACAATGTGGGAGATGCGGAGACTCCCGGGACCGTCTCCCCAAACCTCCTCCTGGACGGGCAGCTGGCGGCCGCAGCGGCTGCTCCAGCCAACGGAGGAGGAGCCGTTTCGGCACGGAGCGGGCCTGGGGCGCTGGCTAATACTTTGGCAGCGGCCGCCGCCTCGGCCCCTTCCTCGGGGGCACCCGGCACCCCCCCGGTCGCGGGCTCATCTGCCGGGCCAGGGACTGCAGCCCCGTCGCAGCCCCCCACCACTTGTAGTTCCCGTTTTCGTGTGATCAAACTGGACCATGGGAGCGGGGAGCCCTATAGACGCGGCCGATGGACGTGTATGGAATACTATGAACGAGATTCAGACAGCAGCGTTCTGACCAGGTCCGGGGATTGCATTAGGCACAGCAGTACTTTTGACCATACTGCAGAGCGGGACAGCGGTTTGGGCGCCACCGGAGGATCTGTGGTGGTGGTAGTGGCCTCCATGCAGGGGGCGCACGGGCCCGACTCGGGAACTGACAGTTCCTTGACTGCTGTGTCACAGCTACCCCCGTCGGAGAAAATGAGCCAGCCCGCTCCGGCCCAGCCGCAGAGTTTTGGCGTTGGGCAGCCACTGCCTCCGCCGCCGCCCGTAGGTGGGGCTGTGGCTCAAAGCTCGGTTCCAACGCCGCCGTTCCCTGGAGCCGTGGCCGGGTCGCCGCAAATGATGGCAGTCGCGCAGCCAACCCAGCCCCAGGGAACCGGGCCCGGCGTCGGTCCCCAGACGCCCAGTGGACAGGGTCTGCCGCTGACGAATGTAAACTTGGCGCAGCCCGGCATGGTTCTGCCTCCGCAGCCGGGCACAGCGGTCGGCACTTCTGCAACGCAGCAGCCCCAGCAGTTCGCGTATCACCAGACTCAGCTACCGCCGGCGCATCTGTTGCCCTCTGGTCAGAGTGAGTACCTGCAGCAGCACGTGGTCGGCTTGCAGCCACCAAGCCCCGCGCAACCGTCGTCCACCGGCGTTGGAGCAAGCCCCGCCGCGGCTGCCAGCCTTCCCGTGGTCACCGGCCAGAATGCCGTCTCAGTGGGCGTGCAGATAATGGGCACGTCTTCCCTGCCCGGTGAAGCTGTGGCCCCGGGGCCGGGACCCGCGCAAGGCGTACAGGCCGTGCCTTGCCAGCCGGCTGGAGTGTCCCCGGCTACAATGGGAGGCTCGGTGCAGCCGGGCCTGGTTCCTACCGGGGCTGGGCAGCCCCAGACCGTGCCTCCACCACAGCTGGGTGGCACTAGTGCGCCATCAGCCGTGCCTGTTGGCTCCCACGCCATGGTGCCCGGAGTTTCAAATGTGCCTGCAGCCATGCCCGCTCCCAGCGTGCCTAGTATGTCTACCACTTCTGTTGCTATGCCAAATGTACCCGCGCCTCTGATCCAGTCGCAGCAGCTGAGCAGCCATACGCCAGTCAGCAGGAGCGGCAGCATAATCCAGCAAGTTGGGCTGCCCTTGGCGCAGGGCACACCCAGTGCACCAACAAGTCTACCACAGTCTGATCTAAGCCAGTTTCAGACCCAGACCCAGCCTTTAGTCGGGCAAGTTGACGATACTAGAAGAAAATCAGAACCCCTACCTCAACCACCACTTTCTCTCATTGCTGAAAATAAGCCTGTTGTGAAGCCTGTTGCAGATGCCCTGGCAAACCCCATTCAGTTGACACCTATGAACAGTCTCGCCACTTCTGTATTCAGCATAGCTATTCCTGTTGATGGTGATGAAGACAGGTATGGAAATCTTACTTAAAATATTTGATAGGCATGCTTGGCCAAACATTGTAGTTTCGGATACAACTTTGGGAGAATTCTCTTTTCAGCTTGAGACCCTTAGCATTTTTAAATACAAAAATTTGTGTTTAGTAAAATTGTTTTATCAGTTCTTGAAAAGACATTAGTTTTAGATTGTTGATATAAAGGTGTGTGATAAGAGAATTGGTCTTGTCACAGTTTTAAAAGCACTAAAATGGGTAGAGATGCAACATTGTTTTTTTCAAAAAGGCAGATTTTAGCTTAATCCTCTCAATTTAGCATCTGTAGCTAGAAGGTTATGAGATACAGGATTGTCCCTTTCTTAGATAACAATCACACTTGAACACCTAGGCAGACAGCTTTGTTCAGTGTGTTTTGAGACTGAGACATAAAGTTAGCAGTTTCCCATTCTGGAGGCCCTCTAGTAGAGAAAGATCCAAGTAAGATACCTTCTCCAGTGTATCTGGAGAAGCTGGGTAGACTAATGGTGAGGTGTCAAATCCGGCTTTGAAGATCATATCTTCATTCAACCTTTTAATAAAAAAGGATAGATGTCAGAAGGCTTCCCAGTAACTTGTCTAAGATTTTTTTTTTTAAGCAGTTAAGTGTGTTGAAAAGATGTTCTTATCATCTGTTGGTCTTTTTACTATAGGAAAGGGAGGTATGAGATATTTGACAGAAGTAAAAGCTCTAGTTCTTGAAGTTAGTTTAATTTTTACTAAAAGTATGAATGTCAACAATTAGCTCCCTGTATTTAAGGGATGCTTTTTTAATAGCTTAAGTGAAAATTGGTGTATTGCCACATCAATTCTACAAAAATTGATGCTTGGTTATGTATGGTTCAGTGAGGATTTTAAGTGGTTTTGAGGAAATGTCATGAAAATTTGAGATACGGTATGTAATGCAAATTTTTAAAAACTGATGTTACATCACTTTAAAATTACATTTAAAGATTACAGAGTGTCAGTTAACCATTTATTTGCTGGGGTTTTTGAGAGAGGTTAATTTTAGATGAGTTAAAAGATGAAAACTATTTTTATGGATTTCTACCATAATTGGTATGTAGAATACAATGAGATTTGCTAAAACTTTTTCTTCCTATGTTTCATCTGAGTTCTTCACATTCCTTTCTTAACTTTTCATTTCTAATTAGCTTTGTATTTTTGTTATATACTTCTGTTGGTTTAACAAATGCTCACTGAAATTCATCTTCTCTGCTTTTTGTAATTCAAAGTTCATATTTTTTTGTAGGTGACTTGTTTGTGGGAGTATTTCTTCCATCTGAAAACTCACTAGAGAATACCACATGTCCATAAGTCAGCTAAGCTAGCTAGTTATTAAGCAAATTTATATGGATGGGAGACAAGGAAAGAAACTGATTCCACAAGCCACTCAAGAAAAATCCTTTACATGTGCTCCCATATTTCACCTTTCACACATAAGGGCACACCTGAAATCCAGATTGTGCTTATTTGTTCATTTTAGGTAATAAATCAAGAGGTATCTTCCTTATCTAGCTGTCAGAAGCCAATTTTTTTCTGACATGTTGGTAAATAACCGTTTACTTACAATTCTGTTGCTCTTCTACATTCTCCCGTATCTCTTCAAGAAATTACGGCTGATTTCCCAGTCTCCTTCCCCCACCCCCAAAAAAGAAACACATGCACACCTATGAATGAAGAATATATTTTCTCTCTTAACATCTCTCTCAGTTTACAGCATATGTAATTATATTCCCCAGAACTTTAATGTGATGATATGGCATGAAGTAGAGATCAAGTGGAAACTCTGGGATGTATTCTTCAGGCTGTGACCTCAAAGATGCATTTATTTCTCCTCTTACTTTATTAGAAGAGTCGATAATTTCAAGAATCTCATTTCCAAACCTGTGAATATTTGAACTACAGATACTACTGTATCAGTGTTCTTATCAATTGCAACAGTTAATCCAGTGCAGGGGTTTTGATGTGTGTGCAGTCCTATTTTAAATGTGGCACTTCCCTCTCCCACCCCGTCTTTTAAAATCTGCATTGCTTATCAAATGTACATTTCTAATTTTTGTTAGTCTTTTGTTCGTTTCTAATTTAACATGCTAGTTTCCAAGATGTAATCTTACACATTTGACTATATTGTCACTAGACCAACACACCTGGTGAAGGAATAAATCCATTAAGTAGAAATAGATTTTTGTTTTTGTTTTTTAATGGAAAATCATTGTAAAAGAAAGGGCATTTTGAACTTGAATGCTTGAAATTAAATAACAGTTTTTCCAGGCGTTTGTTTAAATTATTGACATGAGTATTTTGAGGAGACAGTACTAACAAAACCATAATTTTAATATGGTGATTTGGGGTTGCCCTTCTAAATTAAAATCTGCATACAGTTTTATTTGCAGTCATTCAAATGTAAAATAAAACATTGGAGTGAGAAGTCTTGAATAATTATGACTTAAACTTTGTGAATAGGATGAAATTTCATATCCTAAGAAAAAATTTGTAAATAACATGTTTGCTCTTTTAAAAAATGTGAAGATGTTAGTAAACACATCCTCTTTGAGAAAAGGAAGGAAAATGGAAGATGAACAAAAATGATTGACATTTAGGCTGACATTGAAAACTCTTATCTTGTGATTTTTGGTTCTGTTACCTAATACAAGATTCTATATTTGCTCATTTGTTTTAAAGAGCCAGACCTTTCAAAGGGCTAATGGTTGTATATACAAAGTAAGAAAATGTTCTAAAAGTTCTCAGTTAACATTGCCTTTTGACTATTATTAATTACCATAAAGTTCATATATCATTCTAGCTTGTCATCTCATTAGAAGGACTCATAGTTACTGAGATTCTTAAAGTTGATTTTGTGTCAACTGGAAGATATAATAATGGTTGAAAATATAGTTCATAAAAAAATGAGTAGTCACTTTTACAGTGAAAGTTAAAAAAATTTGTTCAAACTACCTACACCTAACAGACTTCTTTTTGTAAGGGGGAAGGGATACAAAATATTACTGGCCCTTTTGGAAGAGGAACACAATACTGATCATTTTCCATAGATAGCTGACCAATGTGAACCTTGTAGGCCACATTCCAGGAACTATTATGAATGGCTGCAATTGTGAACTGTCAACTGCAACCAAAAGACTGTTGAAAACCTGATTGTAAGGATCCCTTAGTGAAAAATATGTCTATTATCTTGTTATTGATTTTATTTGTGTAATTTGTTAATGACTACCTATGAAGTATTATAAATTGTCAATATTAAGTGGTCTGTCCTGGTATGTGCTATAAAAAGTTTTGTTCATATTAGATACGATATATGTGTATCATATATGTACACACACATTTTTAATGGGTTTTTTAAGTGAAAGAAGTATGTAAATGTATAATATCAGGAGAAAGAGCTGTCACTCTTACTTTTGTTACTTCTTAGAGCTCTCGAAATCTTACTGCATTTAGTCTTTAAAAACAAAAGCTGTTTACTCGGATCTGTGTTTCTTGGGAGCTTACGTTCCCTTATCTAAATTGAATTATAGAGGTAGTTTTGCCCTTCCAGTTTTTCACCTGATGTTTAAATCACACATTGGATACCATCTTATGCCTATCTAAGTAAGTACTCTTAACAAGGATTTTGCAGTCAAAGTGTAAAATCTTGTGTATGAGTGACATTGTTTAGTATAAAGAGTTATAACTGCATTCATCAAAGTACTGTGCTGATTACTAAAATACATTCTAGTCACAAACAGCTCTAAGTAAAGGAAATTATCTCAGAATTCCAGAAAGACCAATGTCTAGAAGTGCCTAAAATTTCCAAAACTAAGCATTGTATCAGTAGGTGTATGGCTTTTTTTTTATTCCCATTGACACATACATTGTTCAGAATTTTGTGTGAACTAAATTATAGATGCTGAACACTAGTTAACTTTTTAGAAAATATGGGAGCTTGGATGTATGTGGATAAGGCACTCTAACTAATTTAGTAAATCCTTGTTTTTTCCTTGTCAGGAAAAAGGAGGGTATCTTGGACTAAAGTGCCTTTATGAGAAGTCATTTTTTACAGTACTCATAATGAAGCATATGTTTTCTACTTCCTGAGAATAAATACAATACCATTGTATTCTTCAGTAATTCGGATAGCACTAATTTGGGAACAGTAAAACATGATACTGGATTTATGGATCTGATACTTGCTAATTTGGAATGGAATTTAGTCTTTCTGTGCATCAAAAGAGATTGAAAGCAATCATGTTTTCTAGGGTCCTTCAGTTAACAGAACCAATGAGATTGTGAAGAAACCAAAATGAATCTCTTTCCTGAGGAATGGTTGATAGGGAATTATAAAAGGATCTTGACTTTTCTTTACTAAAATGGCAGAAGTTGGGGGAGTGGGAGTAGACAGTGATCACAAATAACCAAGACCATATATAGTGAATGACAAAATGTGGTCTCAAAAGGAATAGGAACACAAATGGTTACTAGTGAGAAACAGTGGTCTAATTCCTTCTTTTAATAATTGTTTTTAGGCCAGTATATCTAAACAGATTTCCTTTTCTGAACAGATACTGTTTGTTTTTTAATTGCATTACTCTCTAAATACTTAAGTTTGAGGAAGAGAGACTTTACAGAAACACATCTGTCTAGTTCAGTGTAGCCTGAATGGTGCTGTTTCCTAAGTGATTTTTTATGAATGGGAAGAGCAGATTTTTAATAAATCTTAGTAGCCAACAAAATTTAACGGGTATGTATAGCAAAATTCCTGAATTGAAATAAGTCCTTTTAAGTTTGGTTTTTCTTTATATTAAACTAGTGGACTTGTGATTTGAGGCAGCTCTTCTACATGATATAATACAAATTAGTGCATCCACAAAGAATCTGCATACCTGAATCATTGGTATAATTTTGGTCTTTTCCACAGTAATTCCTGAGCATAACAGATTACTCAGTATTTGTTATATTCATAATCTGGCATTATTTGGGGCAAAA